GCTGACTGTGCTGGAGAGAGGCTGCATCCGGGCCCCTGCCAGCGGGGTAAGGACGACAGCAATGATGAAAAACACAGAAAAGGATCACTTCACTACCATAAAAACATGAAGACCTGGCCTGCAGCCAGCTCTCATGGCGTTGGGCTAGTCGTTCAGCTGAATGACAACAGTGAGTAAAACTGACTTCTTTGCCTGTTTGTTAGTTGTCCACCAAAATTTTTCCCTTCCACTTATCTGTAAATATTTTCCAAACTGAGCAGTGAAAGAGGAAAACCAACACACCATGAGCAGGGCATGGTTTCCTCTCGACTCACAGAAGAATGTGAACAATAAATGCTGCTTCTGAGAGCAGCAGTACTAATGAAGTTTGGCTTGCTTGCTTTTAATCTCTCGCTCTTTCATATCGCCTCTTTTCCACCCCTGCAGATGTGCAGTCTCTGATGCTGGTTGCGCTGATGAGCCGCCCTCCGGGGGAGCGGTACCAGCCCTCTCCTCCCTGCGGGTCCTCGTTCCCGCAGCAGGCAGGACTGTGGCACCTGCCCCTTCAGCGTTGCACACTCCCGGAGGTGCTGCATTTGGGGTTTCATCCCCACTGATTTTGTGCTTAGGACTACTGAGTCGACTGTCAAATATTTCCACATCCATGTTAATAGACCTAAGAACTTGTACAGAAAATAAGACTTCTAATGAGTAACAACAGTCAAGGACAAGAATATGTTCACTGAATACAAACTACGCAGATGCTGGATTGTTGTCGTCAGTTTGAGTCGACAGGGAGGTAACACAGTGGTTCCTGCTTAGGAAATATTCAAGCCTACTGACACTGAATTATTGAATAAATGTTTTAGCCCTTTGTACGAATTGAAAGGTATGGACCTTCACACTCAACAGTCTCCTGGGGAAACACAATAGCACTGTCATTTCTAAGATGTTGAATTTGTCTCTTACAAGTGCAGACTACTCTAAAATTCCTTAGCGTGGTTGGTTTCAGCAGACGATAGCGGCATTTGGAGGTATAATTTGATACAATAATAAAGTTGTTAAACCTCTTAAAAATACTACCCCTCTCTTTTCTGTCCCCTTTGCACCCTTTTTACCATAGGCTGGCTTTGAAAACTGATGGTTTTATCAGGATATCGAAAAAACTATAGCCCAGTTTTCTAAATAATAAAAACCAAAACATGTTCCAAAATCCAACAGTCTTTCATCTTTGGCAAACAGATAAAAATAAAAAGTTATTCATGGTTACTGAGAGTTTCAGTGCTAAATCTCTGCCAGATTATTTCACAAACAAAAGCAGCAGCAGCCCTGGGTCACCCTCCTGTTGCAAGTACAGCGGACCACAGTTCCTCTGAACCATATTTGCACGTCAGGGAAGTCTGCCTATGCTGCTGCCTCCTTCTTGAAATTTACTCTTTTATTTTTTGTAAATTGTTATCATCAAGTATTATGGTAACATCTATTTTTTAAAATTTTAAGATAACATTGCTTTGCTGATTGTTCCAATATCCCCTAACAATGAAATATAGTAATACAAAAGTTAACTAAGGTATAAACATGCAAAAGGAGAAGTCTCCCTGCGATCATAAAATGATGTTATTTTCTGTTCAGCAGTTCATGTTACTGCTGTTCATGCTAATTAATTAAAGGAGCTGTTGCTGTAATGTGCAAACAGGGAATCTGAGAAACTGAGAGGGCTTTTAGGTCTCGGAGTGAAGTTAAGTCAATCTGGGCGCGGGCAATCAAATGTAATGAAATCACTTGTCAGTGCTAAGCTTGCAAAAACTGTGAAGTTTGACTAGGGAGTAAAAGGATTATAATTAGATTTCCAATAGGATAATAACTAAATGGCAGAAAGCAGTAAAGAGAAAATATTACTTTGTTAGCTAATGGTGCTGCTGTTCGGTTTCAGTTTTTATCAGCACACTTGTAGTTGTGCTAATTTAATTTGCTTTTATCAGCAAAAATGCACTACTCGAATGGTACTTGAATGTCATTTGCAAAAATCATTGATCTGAAGGTGCACTTAATGACACCCGGTATGTTTATTTTATGTGAAACGGAGACTGGTTGATAAAATGGTTGATGCACTATCTTGCTGGCCCACAAGTGAGTTATGGAAGCAAGACCAGAAGGGTACCTGTGTGCATGCATCACCCTCTCCTGCACCACTCAGCTATGCAGGGGGCTTCACGACTCCAGCAATTATTACTTTTCTATTTTGTCAGCTAAAAAGCTTCTCTCAGATGAAGCTATGCTGGACTAGAAGATCAGGTATACGGAGGATGGAGGTATTAGACTGTAAAGTTCAAAAAAGTTTTCAGTCTCATCTGCACAAAATTTCTGTTCAATTAATATACAAAGCATAGAGAAAATGAGTCGACTAAATGGAAAAGATTTATAATGCAGATCAGAATCCCAGTATATGAACAGCTTGTGTTAATAAAATCATTTTAAGAAATGAGCATAAAATATGATAGGACTTAATCACTGTGAAAGGTGGCTGTGCAATATTTTTGTAATTTTCCTTTAAACCGTCTTAAGGAGATACTGGCAGTGAAACTAATTGAATTTCAAAGGAGAGGCACTGTGTGAATGATAGATTTCTGTCCAGCAGAGCTATTGACAAGAGCAAAAGAAAGGTCTGCATTGATGGTAATGCTTTTTTCTGTGCAATAGAGAGAGATTTTGGAAGCTTGGAAAAAGCTTTGTATTAGGGCTATGTGTTTTGACCCTTCCTCTTCCCAGGGCCCAAAAAACAAAGGCAGTAAATGAAGGGGGCAATGAGAGAGTGTGCTCAAATTGTTAAAGACAGCAGTGCAACAGTAGCTGTCAAGCACAAAAACTGTAATCAAAGGAAAAGAGAATAAAAATATATTACATTATCAGCATAAATAAAAATGAAAGAGGCGGTGCTACAGGACAGAAACACTTTGAAATCTAAACAAGTTCTACAGAGCTCTTCAGAAACCTTTTTATCAGCTGGGAGCGCCTAGTGAGAAACTAGCTAAACTCATCACACCTTTACATTTGAACAGGATTACTGCACCAAAACTGTCACAGCAGTCAGCACACACTGTCGGTCATTACTGTGAAGACAGGAGGTGCTTTGCCATTGAGGAGTATAGGACAGGTTTACAACTCCTACTGCTCAAGTCATGTTCTGCTTGTGCAGCAGGGCATTGAGCTCAGAGATACTGAACGCAGTGGATGTCCAGCTCTCCCCTTGTTCAGGCTCTTAACCTGAACAAAACCTTCATGATCCAAAGACTGTTAAAACTAAAAAACGATGTAGCTGAGATCAGATTTAGAAAAAAACAACCCAAACCAACCTGAAATAAAAATCATAAAATCACAAGGTTTTCTTTTATATCAATAGACTACAGGAATGGTAAGAATGTTCTCTTAATTCCTCCTAGTAAGTAAATGGTTGTTGGAAGTGGGTATGTATCACCTTCCCCACGGTTATTTATAATAATTTTTAATGGGAAGATAATTTCTGCCAACTGTAACTTTTTTTCTTCAACTGAGAATTGAAATTAACTTCCCTTTTTTACTAGGTTCTGTCCAGATGCACCTTTGACTGTCTCCCTCTCTTTTTGGAAGAGCACTGAGCGCTCATCTCAGCAGGTATCATAAATAGATCAGAAACCTCAGGAATATTTTGCTTGTCAAATTTAAATATATGTGTTCCAAGTGCTTATCCAGTATTTTGACTACTTCTGGCAGTAACGATTTTCCAATTGCAATATTTAGAGCACAACTCTAATCATATGTGTACATACATACACACACATATGTTATATGGACATAAATGCATTACAATAAAGCTGTGATTCTCCTTCTCTGTAACACATAGCATACGAACCTAACATCACAAGAAGAGACAGCAGTAAAAATATTTGAAAGCTTTCCTGTATAGATGACAGATGGACGACAGATGCAGACCAGAGGTATGCAAAGTCAAGCCTTTAACAGTTGAGAAACGCTAGAAGTTATGTTTGTATCTATACCTGTACTGCAGTCCTTCTTCTGTCTACACAAAAGAAAGGGACTGTCTTGAGTTACTTCAACTCACGTTATTTTTTGCACATTACCATTACATGATTCAGTACAAAGGGTGGAAGTGCTCTAAGAAGACGCAGTTATATTGAAACAGGCAGCTGTCTCCCGGCTGCTACAGTAGCCAGTGCAGAACTGAACGGTGCGTGATGAATACAGAACAGGATTGAAGGGAGAAAAAGGTTGGGTTTATAGAACACCAACACTACAAAAGTAGGCTTTCTCCGAAGTCAGAGAATTTCTGTGTTCGAATTGCTTGGAACAAATTTTATCACAGGTGACTATGGATTTTCTGCGTGTCTCAAACAGGTTTCCAACGGTAATGGAAATAATCCTTAAAGTCTCTGTCTCTCAGCTCCCCCAAATGATGATTACACAATTCCCTTACTTCACAGGCCTACAGCCAGAATGCATTTATTATTCTTTGGGAAGCACTCAGACAATACATGGATGTTCTGTATTTACAAAAAGTCACTGAACGATGAGGAAAATATATAATTTCTCAAAACATGAACATGACTTTTCCACTTAGAGTTTATGTATTTTTTGCAGACACCTATGATCTTGATAGGCAGGTAAGGATCAGAGGTAAAATGTTTTAAAAAGATAAATCATTTGTAAAATCACTTTTGAACTAAGCACATATATCTCAGAGCTAAATATGAGTTTCTTGCACCTCTATTTAAACAAATTTAATTTCTGGTCCTGTAAAGTACTGATCTTACAAAGGTTTTCTATATTGAACAGGAAACCAAAATGAAGTTGTGTAATTTACATTTATCTTAAATCAGGAAAACGGAGACAAAAACTATTCTGCATTTCATTTAATTTTTGTTATGGCTCATGATAAACATGTCTGTGATGGGATGTGGTACATACTGCACCTTGCATTGCTGCACTGTCATGTTGGGTTCCGTTGTGTTCTATTTCCATATCTGGGATTCCAGCATCTGAAAGATGTGACACTGAAGATTAATGCATTGCCCTTTGTCCTTTTCTCATGCATCTTTAGAAAAATATTTACAGCAAGCTAGGGTGATCTCCAAGTTACACGGTCTTGCATAAAACATTTGGTCTCCATAGGATTTTCAGTAGGAAATCATTTCCAAAATGTGCAAACAGTACTGATCTCACAGTGAATTATTTTTAATGTGCTTCACATTTGCCTGATGATCAGATAATAACCAACACATGATATTAATATGTCTGTAAAATTCTCTTGGAGATTGAGGGCATCTGACACACAAAAAATAAAAGTTGAAATTAAACTGTGATAATATTAAACTACACTGACTCTCCTAGCCATATACCTGCAAAGTACAGAATTAAAGAATATAGCCAATGCCCGTCAACATGTTTGTGTGTGTGTGTGTGTATCAGTTTGTATGAGTGCACATTATAGATAAAGACTGAGAAAACTGCATTTAAAAGACTCAGCTCGGGGTGTTTTAAGCATGTATTATCGCCCAAAACAAAACTACATATATGATAATATGTGAAACATTTTCGTATTTTTGAGAAGAGGTTTCCAAAATGGACTGTGCTTTTTCCCAAGTTGAGAAAAAGTCTCATAACGATGTGCACTTTTGAACTACTTAATTTCATATTGATAATACCTCTGTATGCACAGTCCTTCAGGGTGGGGGCAGGGCTCGAACACCCCAGGGTGTTATGATAACAGATGCCATTATCCACCTTGTGCCAGCAAGGATTAGCATGAAGGGTATGTGATTTGAATCCATGGCACCTCGAATCCTGGAGAAACATCTGCTTTGCTTATAATACAGCACTTAAAAATTACAGCAGGAAAAAACCCACACCTGAAAGGGCGCTGCATACACAGTTTGGACGTTTTTCTGCGTAGAAGCCTCTTCTGGACTTTGTCAAATAGAGAACAACTGTACTGGTGCTTTCTCAGATCACTTTAGTTGTTGGAGTGTCAGTATCTATTGCAAAGATGACATTTTGCTGGTTACCCTACAGCCTGACCAAACGCTATGTCAAAGCAAGGCAACCCATTACAGTACAGTCCATACACAGAAGAGTAATATGAGTAATATCTTAATAATACATGTGTACATGAGCTATATGGGATGTATGTGTATATAGCCCTATAAATACATATGAGCAAATAAATAATATTTTAATGTATAACATTTTTTCTTATAAAATTACAAATGACTGCTATTACATAGGGTTTCCCTTATTCATATTCCTGTTTTGAAGGAAAGTTCAGGGCACTGATCTATTAATCTAAAAAGGTTCTTTCTTTTCAAACCTTTTAAAGTACATGTTGTATATACGTAAAATGACAAAGTCATCTGTAACTAATATCAGCATCTGTTAAATGAGACAGACCGTCAGAGTTAAATGAAAAATATTCAGAATAGCCCTTCACATTTTGTTGTCATAAAATTGTACCTGCAATTAAATTGTGGATTAAGATGCTAATGAGCTACCTGATTTGCATGTGCAATCAGATTAGCATGTAAATATCAGCTTCTTGCAGGCACTAACATATATATGACTACCTGAGTGTGCCTGCAAATCAAAACGTTAGCAGCCAGGCCCACAATAGCAGATGTAAAGATCTGTTAATCACATTGCTGGTACGTTGGTACCCTTTAATTTGTGGCTTCCAGAACTGGTGAGTACTCCTAAGTGTCGTGCGAGCAGCAGGTGCTTACCAGCAACGGAAGAATCTGGGTGAATGACCTTACAGAACATCAGGATGTTAGTTTTTTCCTGAGATTCATGTAAGGTGCTGGCTATGTTTGTGGGATCTGATCTGGGCATTTTTCTGACCCAGTGGAGGCAGCACAAAAGGTTTCTGCTGGCTTTGTCGACCCACTCTCCCTTGGGTCTTTGTCCCTTACCACGGTGCAACTGCAAGCTGTATATCCATGACTGACCACCGTTCACTGTCAGTACATTAGAAAAGCCAGCCAGTTCCTGGTTACAGTGATATGCTGGACTATAAAACCCAGCAGATGAGAATGCCTCTGAAAGATGTTGCTCTCATACTTACGGAGTTTATATCTCTTAGGTGCTCTAGATAAATCACAACTCGCAGTCCATTGCAGAGTGTTGCAATGGCAGTTCACGTCGACAGGCTTGTCCTAACTTTAAAAAACAGTCTGAGGAGCCCTCACAACTGAGAAATCAAGACAAGCTAAACTCATTATTTTTACTCAGCAGTTCAGGCAGCTTTTGCAGTCTGCTTATGTTACTATGGCTCAGTTGCAAGCAGTGCCCAAGGTAGGCAGCACAAAGTTAACGTAAAGACTACAGGATATACAAATGCAGCAGAGACTGAATGTAACTTTGATTCACGAGCCTCTGCAGAGACTCCGGGGTAGGGACACACAGACTAAACTGTAGCTACAAAACCTGAAATTAAATAAAATTTAACTAAGTTCAGTCTTAAAGATTCAAACCAAAGCTCTAAACTTTGGCCAGAACCATATTAAGCAGGAGAGGCAAATCCTCCCACTACACAGAACATAACCAACCTGTTTAGGAGATTAACTGATTTGCTTTTGTCTCACAAGAATATCTGGGAAGTATTCAAAACCTAGTCACCTCTGAAAGCTGATACATATTTAACAAATTGAATAGGTCCTGAGGCTGAGCAAACTTCAGCCAAATGGCTTTTAAAATGAAGTTCAGCAGTTCTAAAAATGAATCTGCTGGGAGAGAAGAGTTCAGAGAACCCTATAGGAACCAAATTTCACATTGTCTTAGCTGGCACTGTAACAGATTTCTCTGGTAATATATTCAGCATTTCTTGTCATGTCTGTGTAAACTGCTCTGTCTGTTTCTCTAGTTGCAGACTTATTTATTTTTTTAATTCGTGACCCAGAGCACATGGCCTGAAATAGATTTTTAATTATTTCAGGAAAGGATTGTTGATTTTCAGTCTGGAATTTGCTTTGTACATCATCTTACTTTTTTTCACTCAATTAAACATCATTTTAAGCTAACTGTGAAAGGCCAACTAAGACATTACCATTTAACATCCTGAGACCGTCACCTGATGTAGCCTGTTTAAGCGCCTGTTCCACTTGTTCTCTTCTCTTTGACTCAAATTCCAAAGCTTCCTGCAATTTTCTCTTTGCCTTCTTTTCTTTCTTCAAGCGTTTCTGAATTGTTGCTGAAATGTAAATATATTGTAAGAACAGCTGTTAAAGCACAGTTAATATATAATGGCAACAGTAAATGAGTTTACGTTCAAGGGCCCAGTTCTAGCTCGAGAAAAAAAAAAAAAAAATCTGGCATGAATCTGATATAAAAACAAAAAAACCCAACACAACCACCCAAGCCATATCCTGTAGTGAAACAATGAACAATCTGAAAGGGCTTTAGATTTTGTTAAAGATCTTAAATCTTATTCTTGCTCTGGAACAGCCTCATGGATTTAAGTCTCCTCACCAGGATCTTAAGAGTCTCAGAGCCAGCCTGGTGGTTCACGTTACACAGACTTCACCAATGTGGACTAAATTCCAGCTACAGTTCTGCAGAGTTTGGTTGAGCTGAAAATTGGCTTAAACTCATTTCTAGCAGCAGCAGCAATGTACATCCTCAAAATTAAATAAATCTCTCACCCTTCATTCTAACCTTTTCCCTAATGCCCCCTCCACTAGCTTTATCCAGAAAGATCATCCAAAGACACTGGTCTACCCTGGCCACTCATCATCGATGGAGGAAGTCTTCTGAATGTGTCAGAGATTCATTTTTAGTTAAGTTTTCTAACATTAAAAGGAAATGAAATTTATTTCTGCAGGTGAACTGTTTGTGTGCAGTGTTGGAGAACCTGACATGTCAGTAGCAATGGTGTACAGAGTGAAACTCCATGGAGTTAAGTGTTGTGTGTTTTTTTTAAAAAAAAAACCTGGAGCAGCAGTTGGGTGAATCTTGAAGCAGTATAACTGAAATAACAAGAACCACTGCCCAAAATGGAAGCCAGGTGTAAGGCCTTTGAGAAGCTGGGTTAAGTGGGTACATACTCAGACGAAAGGTCAAATGTGTAGAGAAGGGGTACGTGCTGAGTAACGTGAGTACTTTTGCATGTCATCACTAGTGGGAGAAAAAAAGAGGGAAAGCCAAAGAAAGGAGAGAAACAAAAAATCATTGGGTGTATGTTGAGAATCTCAGAGAGAAATTAAAAGGGAACTTCCCAGGTAGAAAGCATGTTGAAAACAAGCTTATAACACTGGTAAGTAAATCAAGTATATTCTCTTCATTAGCAATTTCTCCTTCTAACTGAAGCACTCCATAAAACGCTGTATAGTAGCTGGCTGTTTGGACTTAAAATAGGTAAGAGTGCTCCTGTACAGCTTTGCGTTAGATCTCAGTGTACTTTACAGTCATCTCATCTTCTCTCCTTCACAGACGGAAAGCAGAAAGAGTGCCTTGACAAAGATCATCCACAGGCCACTGGTATAACCGTGTAAGATATGGCAGAAACCAGAAGTATTCCTGACTAAGCTCAGTCTTAAACCCAACTATAAGTAAAGTTAAAACTATAACTAGAGAACTGTGCAGTATTAATTGTAGCCAGATGATCTGTGTCTTCATTGTGAACTACTGACATTGGCTACAATTGTATTCCCTCACCTATATAAATTCAAGCAATAAAATGCACATTTTAAGACTTCTCCTTTTCAAACCCTCAATCTTAATCCCATATTTAACCTTATTTTCCACCAGGTTACCATTCCTTGGGCCAGAACTACATCTAAAATGTCTACCTCTGCCAAGCAAATTCCACAGAGCACTACTTAATCCCATGGATTCATCACTGAATCAAATAAATGGAGAAGTGACGGCACTAGAAAAGGTAGGTAAAACTATCAGACCAAAAGGAATATGAGCTTAAACATAAATGCCCTTTTAAAATTACCATATATTTTAGAGTCGTTTGCTGTTTTGTACACTCCGGCACATACAGATCGCAAGTATTGTTAAAATGAAAGTTGAATTTATACAAGTAGTATTTTGCAATCCTTTTATTTTACTTGCTTCTCCTGTGTGCTAGATACCTGTGAATTTCTAATGAAAAAATATTGTTAGAAAGTTTACTAAAAAATTTGCAAAAATTCTGGGAAAATCCACAGTATTTACATAACTTTTTGTGACCACTTGTTCATCTGAATTCTTACTGACTTTTCCAGATCTTTCTGGATTTGTGAATGCTCCAGTCAGGGGGGAAAAAAAAGGATACTATTACATGGGAAATCTCTGAGAGACTTAAAAATTTTGAGGTCAAAATGTGATCTGTAGAACATAACTTTGGAAAATTAAGCAACCCATGTGAAAAAGCCTATCTCTGGCTTTCTATATTTCTATATTTCTATAATAATAAAGATGTGCATGTGATGACCTGAAAGACAAACAAATCTGAGGATATAGATTATTGGTGAAATTCTCTTCTGAGCCAGAAGCCAACGAAGTCTGCAAATGGCTTAAGGTTTTTGTTGACTTCAATGTGACTCGGGAGGTGCAGTGTGCCTTCTTCCTACAGGGAGATAAATTTTGTTTTATAGAAATACAGCAGTCTCATCCACACTTAGACTGGGGTGATGCAACATTTCTGAACACTCACTGCAATTTAACAACTTCAATAGTATTTACTGACCCTTCATAACTTGACTTAGAAGTGCCCTTCTTTGTTGTTGTTGTTGTGGTTTGGGCTGGGCTGGCCTCTTACAGAGACCTGGTGCTGCACACAGCTCTGTTCTACACACCTAATTTCAATTCAAAATGCACAGGAAGATAGCACTTGGCACCTACATTTTTAGTCTTATCCAGTTTTATCTTTCTGATTTCACGGATGTAATCTGGAAGTAGCTTTTGGCACATACAGTACTACTCTCTGTTAGATGCAGATTTGAATTTTAAAAAGAATACTGCCTTCTTTGTAATATCACAGCGAAAAATTCAGATTTACCAATTTAATTGCCTATTATTATCTGAAGCTTCTAAACAGTCATGGTTTTGTCTTAGAAGGCCCCATATGGGGACTGCTATTCTATCTCACTCTCCTGATGGAAAAAAAATTATCTAGGGTTATTTGCTTCAGATCTCGCACTTGGGTAGACTAGTTCTTGTAGTTCCGTCTATTTTGTTGCACTGAAGTTATCTACAAGGAAAACTAGCTGACTAGCACCTAAACTACAGAAATGTGGGCTAGATAAGTAGTAAGGTAATGAAAAAAAATCACCTAAATACCCAAATTACAGACATCATATCTTCTCACAGCAAGACTGATCCTCAATGCTTGGAGGATAATAGCAGAAAACAAAAGAAATTAAAGCTGTCAAATGAAGAAATCGGGCTGGGAATACACAGGCGGAGTGGTAATAATACATGTGAAAGCTATGAAACTGAATCAGCTTTCCTCCACAGAACCAACCAAAACTCTCTGCGGCCAGTTGCCCTGCAGGAAATAATTCTTCAGTCACTGTTCTCTCTGCTTACAGAAAAGTGTGCTTCATTCTGTTTTTATTAAATTTAAATCTTTCATTACCAGTGCTAGTCCACTGCTGCATTACACTGAAGTATGAATGTCAGTTAACTCCGAGTCCTCAATAGCTCCAGCTGGAAATGCCAAAGGGTTGTACATTTAATAGATATCTAAACTCCATTTTTCATTCACTCACCTCTGCTTTGCAGCTCAGCTGTGAGTTGCCTTTCCAAGCTCTCTCTTAGTTCTCTCTCCCTACAAAGCTCCATCTTTAACTCCTTCTTTTCCTGCTGTATCTGCTTTTCCTGGACTCTGGCATTGTCCACAGCCACTTTTAGTAGGCCCTAAAACACACACAAATGTAAGTACTGAAAATACCATTTTGTTTGAGCAGTGACAAAACGCATCCATTTGCTTGTTTTACACCCTCTAGGAAAACAGAAAAATTAAAAGCAGGCACCTATAGACCTGGAAAGCAACTGGGCATTTGAAGTAGCTAAATGTTACACATGAGCGATTTTGTGGCACAGAATCATTCAGTATAGCTTTTGCTAATTCATCCTATTGATGTGGTTTATTAGAAACGGAGTGCTGTATCATTGCTGACCTTGGTCAAGTGCAGGGAGAAGCGAAGGAGGAATAATGAGACTGGTGAATTTTAATATGACCATTATTGCCAATTATTAAGTCAAATAGACAATGTATGAAACCCCTTCATGATCGATAATGCCAGATAGTGGAAACCTAAGCATTTAAATAAAAGAAATTAGAATTGCAGATACAAAATAGTTTCTGAAACTTTTTAAAGAGCTTGAAAAAGAAACACATTTTATCTATCATGACATAGCATGGCCCTATAGAGAATAATTTACCTGAATGTTGGTTAATAGTGTTTCTACTGATGAAAGACCATCAGCAAAAAGAAATGGCGCCGGAAATCCAGGAGGCAAGGCCTGTCCAGCCAGTTGGACTTTATCTAAGGTTGGTTTCATTATTGGAATGGCAATTTGGACCTCTTCTGTAAAGATAGGTTTAAAAGCAACATCAGAAAGCATTGGAGAGACAGGTAAATGTAATTTCTAGAAACTAGCATTCTATTTACCTGGAAGTCAAAATACAAGTGCAGTAGAAAAATAAACATTGTTTCAGTCTGGACAGCTGTGATTGTTGCTAAAGTAAGTTTGCAAAATAGTACAGAACAATAATAAATACATGAAGACTGTAACATAGATGTAATAGAGACTATTACATCTCAAATTCTACAGAATTATACTAGAGTATTATGTGCTTCATTAAACCTGAATGACGTTTTTTCAATCTATCATGTTTGCCATTCTGTGATGTGCATTTTTTGTTGCTATAACCTTGACAAAATTCTAATCCAGAAACGTATCACATCTCTTTACTCCTTTAACGTTATCCTTCCCATACTCAGCAGTAAATAATCTCCACTGAGTCATCCCTCCTGCTTAGCTAGCACCAACTCCACGTTGTCAGTGAAGTGTCAGCACAGGTTTTCTTAACAAGTACCTTGCTACTGTCAGCCTTCCTAGGCACAGGCAGCGGCCAAAAATGCTTTGCCGAGTTATCTCTATCGGAGGTATAAGGAGGGCTGGGTGGTGGGGGGTCACAGGAGCGGCCAGCAAGGAGAGGGCAATCCGGCACAGCGCTCGCTCCTGCGATTTACTGCACGGAACTAGATTGATGCATCGCTGGCAAATTGTAGAATCGGAACCTGACAGCTTCCCCTTCACTCGCTGTTTCAAATAGATCATGTTATAGATCAAGCTGTGTGCAGACATGTGTATCCGCACAGAAACAACAACATTAGTAATTATTTTTCAAAAATCCTTTAAATTGTGATGAATCAGTACTATCACCAATGAACTCACTTTTTTTTTTTTCATTTTAAACATCAAGTTAATTGCTGAAAACCACAAAATTAAAACCCGCCAGCAGTCTTAAAGCCAATCTCTGTACATTTCTTCTACTCTGAAATGTTAAAAAAATATTTCTGTGTAATATTCCAGGGAAATCCAGTCTATATATATTATGTTCCAGCACTTGCAGAAATCATGAATATCTTCTCAGCAATTGCTTTTTAGTAAAGCTTTCAACTAATATATTGACCATAAGTTCATGATGCATATGTTTTCTAAGGGCAACTGCACAGCCAGTCCTGATAGTTTCATTTGTCAAGTGTCTTGGCCATATTAAAGCCAGGATTTACAATTAGACCATGCCATATTCAAAAGCCCTCCTTCTCCCACCTCTTATTAAAAAAAAAAACCAAACTCGACCCAAAACCAAACAAAAAACCCAAACAAACAAACAAAAAAACCCACACGCAGAAAGAATCTGACAACAAAAAATTATACCACGGTGTCTCTACAGCAGTACTGTTACCTAGTTTAACGAACTCCAGGAGTATCTATTGAGCAGCAAACACTTTTTGCTGTGTTTCTAAAACACACCTATTGACAACGAACCAGAAGCATTAGCAGTTTTCAAGTATTCTTTGAAATCTCTGTTTAGGGAGTGTTTTGTTTGCACTGTGTAAGTTCATTAAATGGCACGTGTTCATAACGATTCTTCAGGAGTAATAACAACAAAAGCCAGTAACTCTTCATAGCTATAATTTTAGAGTTCTGTTCATGTAATTTAAATGATGATCCACTAAAAAAAAAAAACCAAGAAAACAACTCTGGTAACATACTCAGACCATGGAGTTTGTGCTGATTTGGATACACCATTTCTCATATTTAATTATCTTGAGTATCAGTGGCAGAGTTTTAAAATAAACTGATTAATCGTTGTGTGTGATGCTACATAGAAATAATATCTAAGCCATGGAGTAACAAAAGACTAGACAGAAGTGGCATTTGATAAAGGAAGTAATACCTGAAGTATGCATAGCAAAACTATAGCTGCTTTAAAATCTCTAGAAATCTCTACTATTTGGGGATGAAAGTAATAACATTAAATTGGCCGAAAGGAAAATTACTATTGACTGTGAAGACAGGTTGCATGGTCTGTGGTTTGTAACATTACTGTAGAGCAGATTGAAGTTTCAAAATAGTATTACTCTTCTTTAAAGAGATAGACACAGCTAAATTAGGTGCTGCTTGCTGCAGTGAGGATCAAATGCAAAAAGAATCATATTTCATCAGACCTAGTCAACACCAGGAAAATAAATAGAAATATAAGAGGTATGCAGGCAATGATTCATTTTGATAATCTGGCCCAAGAGAGACACATAGAGACAGCACACAGATCTAAGCTTCTACCAAAAGACAAATAGGACACAGAGGGTGGGAATAGGGATGACAGTGTAGCAGAGGTCACATCGATTTTCAGCAGCAGTTTTCACACAGATGAGATAACCCTGGACTCTATTTGGCCCATTGTTCATATCCTACCTGTCCCAGAAGCAATAAATTTCCAAGTCCCAGAAAAAGGGCAGTAAAGAAGAAGGATTCTACTTATGACTTCTTATGATTAAGTTTTTGTGCTAACCAAACATGCTTTGCAGACCAAGGTCACATTGCATGTTAAAGTCTGTAATAGCTGAAAACTAGAAGCAGCATATTATGTTTTAGCGTATACGGGTGGAAACTGTCAAACCATTCATCTTTTTTTTTTTTTTCTGATTGAAATCACACTCTGCAAAGATGAATGATAAATGCATTAGAAATCTATTTCAATCTTGTAATAGGTCTTCACATCTGAATGGTGTCTACATCTTGCCCGTATTCTGAATAAGCGCACAGTCAGGCAGAAATTTATTAGCTACACTGGAGAAATCATAATTCGTAAAGCAATTAAAAATGGCACATGTTGGAAACATTTTTTGTGGATTGTATCAAATGCATCTCTTAAATAGAAAAAAGATGTTGATTTAAGCATTTTGATTTTAAAGAACACTAAAAATATAAAAGCTAAAAGCTGCACTCATACTTACAGTACAACAGAATACGCAAGAACTAAAGCTAGGACAACTACAATCTAACCAAGGACACAAACAACCTTTCTATTTATTGAAGCAAAGTGTGAACTTTTATCGAGCTTGTTTTTTAAACCTGCCATGCTTTATAATAGCATTCAGGAATCCATTTAGAGTGCAGTCTTTTTATTTTAATTTCTAGCTGGCATCCAGATGAATAGACAAGAGCAAGAATTATGTTACAGAGAAAAGAAATACACAGTAAACACTAACAATGAATGGAATATTATCCCAGGAAAGCACACGGAAATCCACTAGAAAGTTTCTTGTTCTTAATTCAATATACTAAAGTATTTCATCTTCTGTCTTCTGCCTAAGTTGCAGAAATGGGGATTGGAAAATGAAGCATCAACCTACAGACTAAACGCAGCATTGGGAACACGAGTAACGTGAATTGCTCCCTGCATGACACTGCATGGCCCAAACCAACAGGCAATTTTATTTGCCAGCTGGTTTTTATTCTTTCAGAAGATATGTTTTTAAATCAATCATTCATATACCTGATACACTTGACATGTCACATCCCTCTTAAAACAAGGTAAAAATATTAAAGCTACAATTTACATATTGCCAAACACTAGTTAGATCATCTAGTTGTTTCTTCACATACACTTCCAAACTTTATCTGTGTGGAGCTGTATAAGCATTAGACGTAAACCTCACCTCAAATAGCTTATAAAATATAACTTATGCATAAAATAAATACGTGGCATATGGAGAAGAGAGTGACAATATATATGAAATTTATAGTTCTTAATCTGTTAGTCAGTAACCAAGACATTTGATCTCAGAAAGCCTTCAGGCAGCATTAATAAGACAGTTTTGAACACAGATGGCAGGTGGGTCACTCGTTTTCCCTGCCTGTGGCATACAATTTAGAAACCTAAGGACTAAAATGGTTTATCGCAATTATAATTCTTTGAGCTTCGTATTTGAGTGATGGGGATTACTTTTAATGGTCCATAGTTACAAAAGAACAGCCTAGACATTCTAACAGACCTTCTGACCTTTTAAAATAAACCAGAGGATCTGCAAAACCAGCTGAGTTGTACGTGTTGCCCATCTCTGAAAATAAGATGATACATTTTTATTTGAAATAGCATTATTTGTCCAAAGATCTTACAGAATCATCCAAAACAATATATCTTTATTGACTTCCAGTTATATACCTACTTCACAACAACAGTGATAGGCAGCGGTGTCCAGACATGGGTATATTGATAGAATTAGGGCCCAAATCCTAATTTTTGACTGTAAAAAGCAGTTATCCAAAGAAGTGAGACTTCTTATTCTAATTTTAAACCTTGTCAAGTTCTCTGTTGCTAACTAGAAACTAGTAGATTTTTTTTTTTCCTTTTACAGTAAGGTAAATATGAAAACCCTGTAATCTGAAGCATTGTTTATTTCAAATATTTTTTATCTGGAAGTCTGAAAGGACAGGCTTGTCTGTCTTCAGTGTCTTAGTAATTCTGAAAATCCTCCATAAACCTCTGCCTACCTTTTTCTCCCTCACTCATTGCTTCTCTGCCAGGAGCAGAGCACTCCTGTTCATCAGTGAGAAGAGAGATACCTCCTCCTAACCTGGCACCAATCAGACTTAGAAATTTACTGCTTTAACCTTGTGATTCAGGTGCCAAATTTGAAGTCACTGCTGTTTTTCTTAATTACAGTCCCTGAATGAACAGGGTCAATGAATGCAATTGGGGACTAGCTGATTAATCCAGCACACTAGCTTTAAATCAGACTTTATTTCATTTCCAAATGATTGATACAACTTGATAGCACACAAGCATTTTTCACTACTGAGGTTTGCCATAAAGAAACTTCACCTTAAAAATAGTATCTAATCATTATATATACATTTCCAAGCTGCCTTAAAAGCTTTTGGAAACTATCACAGAACAGTAACATCAACTATGCTCTGGCTTCACGGTATCCGCATCCAAGCTGGTTCTCACCTATGCATTCTGAAATCAATTGATTTTGTCCTGAAGAAGTGTTTAATAAAAACCTTT